CTTACGACAAGCATAGTCGCCTTTTACGGCAAGCATGGGTTGCTGAAGACCTTTTCTACCCCGGATCTTCACGGGGCGGGTCAGATAGCTGTAAGACCAATGTCAAAATGTAGTTGTTAGCTACGGTTCCGGTATTCGTGCTCCAATCTGTAATTGCAAGGAAAGAGAAGATTTTCCAGTTCCTCAGAAGTAGGGGACGAAAATCTCGTCCTGGATTTGATATCGACAATGACAGCCAGCTGACAAGCACTTGCCAAAATGACGACTTCTTTTTTCGCTATCATTTTCGCAATGCGTGAGAAAACTGCGATTGGGAAATAAAACTTAAGAAATGCCATCAAACGAACGGATCAATCAAACTTTCATCACTGTAAAAAGATTATTATTAAAAATTGTGTGAACCGTATTCGGGAGTTAGATATTTTGATGAGCTGTCACAAAACGGTTACAGGCGATGTGATTGATGTGAGATCCGCATTTCGAAGCCCAGCATCTATTACTATAGAATCAAAGGATCGTGTATTTATATCATTTGTCAATGTTGATGGAAAAATAAAAAAAGTAATTTATTAAGTTTGGTTATCAAAGATTGTAAAAACACGCTGAAACACTGTCTTGAGTTGATGCCTTTCTTTTAATATGAGATTTGCCTCCAAGTTGATATCATGATTAAGTAGAGTTTTAGTTTTAAGACTTGTTAACAAATAAAATATAAAATCGTGACTTTTTGTCATTAATCGCGATGCAGATTGCAGCGTTTTACACCAACTTGGTAAAAATCACGTCCCCGACGTCAGTTTCAAACATTCGCGAATCGTGGTTATCATGTTAATCTGTGTTTAAGAACGTTGAGTTAGAAGGTTCGTACATTCAGATCATCATAACGGTAAAATACGTGCACAATTTTTGTGTTATTTCTCATTTCAGCATGACACAAAATGGCATTACCCAGTAAGCATTAAATAAGGAGTTTATCACACCGTTAACTAAAATAATGATGCTGTATTTTCAAAGAAATACTCGGTGGAATTTGCCGAATATAGAATCTGTACCTGTTGACCAAAGTATTTATAGGTTTATTTGCACATAAAAATGTATCTCGTCTTTATTGGAAATACATGTGCAACCAGAGAAAGAAACAGATATAGATTGTCTGATAATGTTGGGAGATGCACCATAAATATTTATAGGCACTGGCCTCGGGTGAAATGGGAGCGGTCTGAAGACGGGGCAATATGGGATATGGCAGGGGCAACATGACGTCATCGATCCGCACTCAGGCTAATCGAGGGTTTTCAGGCAAGTTAGTGAGTGCATGTTGTTTAACACCGCGGGGTAATGGTTCAGCTATACTACGGACTATAAACCCTGGACTCTGGATCAGGCAAACCAGTGGCTGACGGCATGAGCACACAGACAACCAAGTCGCACATTCAACCACCCGATGCTAATTAGGCAGCTCTAACGACAAGCATGGGGACAGCGTGCTTTCTTCACTTTTATCCACACTTGAGTTTGTCAGATTACATTTCCCATCGATGGACAAGTTTGTTTGTTTGTTGTTTTAAACCACAGTCGGCAATATTCCAGCTTTATGACTGTGGTCTGTAGATAATCGAGTCTGGACCTGCCAATACAGTGATTGACATCATGAGCATCTATCTACGCTATTAGGATACGATGACAAGCATCAACTAAATCAGCGAGTGTGGCCACCGGATTCCGTTGGTCACCTCTTACCACAAGCATAGTTGTCTCTTACGGCAAGCATGGGTTGCTGAAGACCTATTCTACCCCGGATGTTCACGGGTCGCTGGCAAAGATACATGCAGGTTGCTACAAGCGGCCAGGTCGGCTGGTTGAAACAGCTGCTTGTTTTCGTACCTTGACGGCGTGGGCATACGTCTTCAGCAACCCATGCTTGCCGTAAATGGCGACTATGCTTGTCGTAAGAGGCGACTAACGGGATCAGGCGGTCAGGCTCACTCACTTGGTTGATGCATATCATCGATACCAATTGCGTGGATCGATGCTCATGATATTAATCACTGGATTGTCTGGTCCAGACTCGGTTATTTACAGACCACCGTCATATAGCTGGAATATTGCTGAGTGCGGCGTTAAAAAACCAACCAACCAACCAACCTGGTGTTCGGCGTGGCAAGGCCAGGCTTCAACCACCAGGATACCCGCACTTCAAATCAAAAGACACCTAAATCAAAATGATTTTCGAAACAAATGAAAATTGAAATGAAATGATTCTATATAAACTTTCCACTCAACAAATATTTTACATTTGAAAATAATTTAAAAAATGTCTCTGAAACAAACCAACCGACGCTCCACGTGATTCATAGGTTTATATACAAGCATTAAATCATAGTGGCATGGTTCCGCTAACCCGCTGTACAGTTTTTGACAGAACTATTCATGAGATATGACCTCATTGAAAGTGATGCGCGACCCGATGCTATCACACAGTACGCGGCTGTCAGCGCAGATTGAGGGCAAACTAGTCCTAGATATTTCATATTTGATAGAAAAATTGATAGCTTTCAAACATCGGCTAATTCTAGTTGTACTAACGCTACAATGCTTGCAAGGACGCTATCCGCCCATTGATCGCCAAGACCGCCAATCCAGTGAGATGGGACCCAGTGAGCGAGCGGAGTGAAGGACGACCGTCATGTCATCGCCATATTACTCATCGACTGGTAAGGCTTTTTGTAAACTGCCGGGAAAAAGAAAGCATACACCTATGGTTGATGGCGACTAAAAATGAAACAGTGAGTGAGTTGGGTTTAACGCCGCTTTTAACAGTATTCACGTTATATCATGGCGTGTCAGCTTAATGTTGGAGGAAAGCCCGAAGTGATGCAGGTCTCAGACGTTTACTACTTCGGTGAAACACACGAGCATGGGTATGGTGTTGACAGACCTAGAAACATAATCGGGGTGAACCGGGATTCGAACCCACAATCATAGGTTTCTGGCGTGCCTAAGGGACACAACTCTGCACATCGAATCGCGGCGCCTTAGACCACTGGGCCACCCATTCCCCCTCAAAATGAAACAAAGCATGATGGTGCTGTATTTGATACAGGTATCATAGTTATGTTTGGACCCTAAGTTTCGGCGACTGTTTTCCGCTTAGTAACTTTTTGATAACAGTTGTATTAATTTGGTCAAATCCAATTTTCAAGTGTATACCTTCTTATGACCGACAATATATATTTAAAATAACCTTCACCTACTTGAATATCTTCCTCCCCACAAAAGAAATCACAAATTTCTCGGTTCATAAAAAAACGCGCAATAGTTTCGTGCGTTTTCTCAAAGAAGGGGGTAAGTCTGTTTATTGCGTCGATATTTGTATCTTTTTAGCCCACCCGTGTATCGTCCTCTTACGCTTTCAACACCGACCCAGCAACCACTGCACATCATCTGATATTATCAACCAAAAGCATTGTTTTCGATCTCTATTTGTGTCTCCTCCGCACACTAAATAACAGGATGTCTACAGAAAGCCTCCCTCTTTGGTGTGTTCGGTCACCTCCGTGGTGTGTTCGACCACCTCCGTAGTGTGTTCGGCCAGGTCCGTGGTGTGTTCGGCCACCTCCGTAGTGTGTTCGTCCATCTCCGTGTTGTGTTCGGTCATCTCCGCAGTGTCTTCGGCCACCTCCGTAGTGTGTTCGGCCAGGTCCATGGTGTGTTCGGCCACCTCCGTATTTTGTTCGGCCATCTCCGTGGTGTGTTCGGTAACAGTAACGCATGTCGCAAAGGTTCACATAACAAACAACGAACATAGTCCGATAGGCCAGGATTAATAATGGGAGAAAACCATAGATTAAAAATACCAAATAGTCGAAGGCATACATGTGATAATCATGGTACCTATGTTGTATTCGAGCGAGAAAGGTTTCGACGCTGTGAGCAATATGCCAACAGTGCAATGGCGGTGACATCAGAACTGAGGGGAATCGAACCGGGTCTTCGACGTGACGGGAAATGCTTTGTCTGGCTAGAGAGCGGATGGACGCAAGGACTGGTCGGCTGGGAGTCAGGAATACTGTGTCCGAATGGAGTATTCGTGTTAAACTGTGACATGGTATCTCGATGTGCTAGCACTACAAGGATTGGAAACGCATGATATACACCTTCATGGCATGGTATCGAAATAATGTTTACAAATTGCTGAGTCAGCGTTGCGTACTTCAGTTTGGGAATGAATGAGTGACACTGTTGTTTTAGAAGGTTTTAGAAGGAGACCAAAGAATGGTTTCACCAATCGTGTCCGAGGGGTTCTATTCAAACCTCACTTTGGAACCTCCACCTCGTTTCAATATTTACCGACTCAGTGCATATTGTGTGAAGTTGACATGCTTATCGAGTTTTGTTTCTTAAATAATATCTGATGGTAAAACTTGAAACGTTGTTGATCCAAGATACTCTTAGGATAATTGTATACGTATCAATGCACTTTCCCGTAATTTCTGACGACACACATGGGAAGCTGGGGACGATTTACTCCCGGATTCCAAACGGGGGTTAACATCATGAGCAACGACATGCCTCCATCTCAAGGGGGCGGTCGGGTAGCCTAGTGGTTAAAGAGTTCGCTCGTCACGCCGAAGACCCCGGTTCGATTCCCGACATGGGTACAATGTGTGAAGCCCATTTCTGGTGTCCCCCGTCGTCACATTACTGGAGTATTGATAAAAGCGGCGTAAAACCATACTCACTCACTCACTAACTCACTTCAACGTAGGAACCTGACCCCTACTTTAGTCTGCTCCTAAAAATAATACGTTGGATCACTAATAGAAGGTATTTTCTGCTATGACTGCACAGCAACACATCAATGAAGCTATACATCAAAGTCTCAAAGCAGGTCAGCATCGTACCATCTCTGTCGCCATCCATCCGTTATCATGACGGATTGTCCTTCCAACATTATGAAACATGTAGGGAAGAGTTAGATCGATAGTAGCATTACTCACCGGTGAATGATACATTGAGCAGGTGCTTCTTCAGGAGGTCGCCATCAATGTTCTCCATGGCTGGACAAAGCCCCTCGTACTCTCCACAGACCTGCTCCCGCACAGCCTGGGGAAACAGTCAATACTAAAATATGAGGACCGGTCATGAATTATGACTCAAGTAAGATCGGCAGATACAAAATTAAGCCCCATATCCACAAAAAAACACCTCATACCCAAATGAAAGGAAAGCTGAAGTAGCCATCTCATGCCTTAGGCTCGGACACAAAAATCACTATGACAAGGTATGTCCATCTTGCAATCAACCTGAATCCATTGCTCCTGAAGCCGAGAGATGCTAACTAACTAACTCTAACTCTATTTCGGAGAGATGGACAGCTACTCGAACGTATATAAACAGAGCAGCCAAAGATAAAAATGAAATTATATCAATATACGAAAATAGAAATCATATCAATACAAAAAAACCCAGAAAATTCTATGAATACCAAAACTCACAAAAGATATGTGAACCGTTTTTACACACATGAGGCCCAAAGAGGGACAGGTCAGCTGAAATTGCTAAGACAGAAAGCGACCTCTTAAACACTTAAAGCAACAATGAGTGAGTATGGTTTTACGCCGCTTTTAGCAATATTCCAGCAATATCACGGCGGGGGACACCAGAAATGGGCTTAACATATTGTACCCATGTCGGGAATCGAACCCGGGTCTTCGGTGTGACGAGCGAAGCTTTAACCACTAGGCTACCCGACCGCCCCTATGTTGTATTAAGATGTTAGTGTGTGCGTGCGTGTTTCACGTAGTTCGGAATCAAGCCCCAAGCTTAAAGTGTATGTGTTTCATTGAAACAACAAGTAGTGTAGAACCAAGCTTTACGTGTCTCATTCAAAAATCTTTTTAAAAAAACAGATGGAATTAAATTGTGTACTGATGATAGGCAGGAAGAATGTATGCATGCATGTATGTATTAGTATAGTAGCCTTATTTATATAATCACTGTTTCATTTTCTTATGAAAATATCAAATACACCGAGTTTAGTTTAACGCAATACGTGGAGAGGCTATTTCTTAGATTGGTCAGTTGACTTTGGGGGCGACATTACTTCTGCGCCAGACTCCACGACATTGCAGACGTCCCTAACCAACTTAACAGTACGACTTAAACCTGTCATTGCGAGGCCTTACTGACACCATCTTGTTAACTTGGAACTTTATTTGTCATTCATTTTTATTTTCAATCTCAATCCTCCTGCCTTGTCATTTTTACGACAGTCCACAGACGCCATTTTGATTTCGCAGACGGTCACGTGACTCGGAAATGATACTCGTGAAGGCAATCGGAATCCCGTGAGAGAAAAATGACAGATTTTTGACACAAAGAAATGAATTCTGGCCACATACATTCACTTGAGTGGTGAGAGGACATTAAGGTATGATTAAGGTATATGTCTAGCTGTAATGGGACTATTGTGTGTTGGGTATAGCTGCTGGAGTTACGACGTCCGTCTACCCAAATAGCGTTTTCATATATCCTCGCGAAGCCGATAGTTACATTGATATGGATTAATGGCTTTGTTATCGCCTATGTAGGATTTGCTATGAGTTGCAGTGACATTATTGAAATCCCAAAAAATATATTCAACATTTTTTTTTTCAAATCTGACCTTATCCCACATTTTCACGTTTTATGTCATAACGTGTTTGCTGGGTTGGAATGCCGTAACGATTTCTAGGAACTTTTTGGCAATAAACTACAGTTTTCATAAGTCTTTCTTACTGTGGAAAGACAACGTAATTTAGTGCAAATACGTTATTGACTTTCAGTCTAAATTATGAAACCCAAACGTTGCTTAACATAATGTGCTTGTCTGATATGTTTGAATAGAAAGCGTTTATTTGACCAAAACAGTTAATTTGTAAAGATGGAACGTCAATGACAGAATATCACCACACTCGATTATCCGCCGAAACAGAGTCCATTTCGTGTAAAAGTCAAAATAACTATGGACATTATGTGAATGGATCGGTGAAAATCAGTAATCACACGAGGTTTTTCATACTCGCTACTCACAATTTGCTTAAAAAAGGCAAGCGTATCTTATCTACCAAATAACTATAGTGAGGGCAAAAGAGAGAAAAGGCAGCATTGGTCTGTCTCCCAGACCCGAGAACATACATTGACAAAGGAGTCCAACTTCAGGCTTTAGTGATTTGCCTCGGCTCCAGGAATTAAAATTGGATTTTAGTTTGTATTTTTTAGACATATATATTTGAAAATAAGATAACTTTGTTTCTGGGACTTAATGTTACTCGTAGGCAGCAAGTGTATACTCTATAGTACTATTTAAGTCTTTTGCTGATACATTGATTTATATGAGCCTCACTGATGTCAGTGAAAGATGATTTTTTTTATTTGGTCAAGGACTGGTCATCAAAGATAGGGATGGTTTTGCACACCAACGTGTCTTAATGTTGAAGGCCTGTGAAGCGTTTTTTAATAAAAAATAGTTCTGAAAATACTGAAATAACATATTTTGCCTCAGGGTGTAAATTGTTGTCTGGACAAACTGTGTGTGTTTAACAAACTGTATCTGTTAAACTAACTGTATGTTTTAAACTAACTGTATGTGTTAAACAAAAAGTATATGTTTAACTAACTGTATGTGTTGAAGAAACTGTATGTGTTAAACTAACTGTATGTGTTAAACTAACTGTATGTGTTAAACTAACTGTATGTGTTGAACAAACTGTGTGTGTTGAACTAACTGTATGTGTTAAACAAACTGTATGTGTTAAAATAACTGTGTGTGTTCAACAAACTGTATGTGTTGAACTAACTGTATGTGCTAAAGAAACTGTATGTGTTAAACTAACTGTATGTGTTGAACAAACTGTATGTGTTAAACTAACTGTATGTGTTAAACTAACTGTATGTGTTGAACTAACTGTATGTGTTAAACTAACTGTATGTGTTAAACTAACTGTATGTGTAAAACTAACTGTATGTGTTAAAATAACTGTGTGTGTTCAACAAAATGTATGTGTTGAACTAACTGTATGTGCTAAACAAACTGTATGTGTTAAACTAACTGTATGTGTTGAACAAACTGTATGTGTTAAACTAACTGTATGTGTTTAACTAACTGTATGTGTTAAACTAACTGTATGTGTTAAACTAACTGTATGTGTTAAACTAACTGTATGTGTTAAACTAACTGTATGTGTTGAACAAACTGTGTGTGTTGAACTAACTGTATGTGTTAAACAAACTGTATGTGTTAAAATAACTGTGTGTGTTCAACAAACTGTATGTGTTGAACTAACTGTATGTGCTAAACAAACTGTATGTGTTAAACTAACTGTATGTGTTAAACTAACTGTATGTCTTAAACTAACTGTATGTGTTGAACAAACTGTATGTGTTGAACTAACTGTATGTGTTAAACTAACTGTATGTGTTAAACTAACTGTATGTGTAAAACTAACTGTATGTGTTAAAATAACTGTGTGTGTTCAACAAACTGTATGTGTTGAACTAACTGTATGTGCTAAACAAACTGTATGTGTTAAACTAACTGTATGTGTTGAACAAACTGTATGTGTTAAACTAACTATGTGTTAAACAAACTGTATGTGTTGAACTAACTGTATGTGTTGAACAAACTCTGTGTGTTGAACAAAATTTGTGTGTTAAACTAACTGTATGTGTTGAACAATCTGTATCTGTTAAACTAACTGTATGTGTTGAACAAACTGTATGTGTTGAACAAACTGTATGTGTTGAACAAACTGTATGTGTTGAACACACTCTGTGTGTTGAACAAAATGTGTGTGTTAAACTAACTGTATGTGTTGAACAAACTGTATGTGTTGAACAAACTGTATGTGTTGAACACACTCTGTGTGTTGAACAAGATGTGTGTGTTAAACTAACTGTATGTGTTGAACAAATTGTATGTGTTGAACAAACTGTATGTGTTGAACGAACTGTATGTGTTGAACAAACTGTATGTGTTGTATGTGTTGAACAAACTGTATGTGTTGAACAAACTGTATGTGTTGAACGAACTGTATGTGTTGAACAAACTGTATGTGTTGAACAAACTGTATGTGTTGAACAAACTCTGTGTGTTGAACAAAATGTGTGTGTTAAACTAACTGTATGTGTTGAACAAACTGTATGTGTTGAACACACTCTGTGTGTTGAACAAAATGTGTGTGTTAAACTAACTGTATGTGTTGAACAAACTGTATGTGTTGAACACACTCTGTTTGTTGAACAAAATGTGTGTGTTAAACTAACTGTATGTGTTGAACAAACTGTATGTGTTGAACAAACTGTATGTGTTGAACTAACTGTATGTGTTGAACAAACTGTATGTGTTGAACTAACTGTATGTGTTGAACAAACTGTATGTGTTAAACTAACTGTATGTGTTGAACAAACTGTATGTGTTGAACAAACTGAATGTGTTGAACACACTCTGAGTGTTGAACAAAATGTGTGTGTTAAACTAACTGTATGTGTTGAACAAACTGTATGTGTTGAACTAACTGTATGTGTTGAACAAACTGTATGTGTTGAACACACTCTGTGTGTTGAACAAAATTTGTGTGTTAAACTAACTGTATGTGTTGAACAAACTGTATGTGTTAAACAAACTGTATGTGTTGAACTAACTATGTGTTGAACAAACTCTGTGTGTTGAACAAAATTTGTGTGTTAAACTAACTGTATGTGTTGAACAAACTGTACGTGTTAAACTAACTGTATGTGTTGAACAAACTGTATGTGTTGAACAAACTGTATGTGTTGAACACACTCTGTGTGTTGAACAAAATGTGTGTGTTAAACTAACTGTATGTGTTGAACAAACTGTATGTGTTGAACAAACTGTATGTGTTGAACACACTCTGTGTGTTGAACAAAATGTGTGTGTTAAACTAACTGTATGTGTTGAACAAACTGTATGTGTTGAACAAACTGTATGTGTTGAACGAACTGTATGTGTTGAACAAACTGTATGTGTTGTATGTGTTGAACAAACTGTATGTGTTGAACAAACTGTATGTGTTGAACGAACTGTATGTGTTGAACAAACTGTATGTGTTGAACACACTCTGTGTGTTGAACAAAATGTGTGTGTTAAACTAACTGTATGTGTTGAACAAACTGTATGTTTTGAACACACTCTGTTTGTTGAACAAAATGTGTGTGTTAAACTAACTGTATGTGTTGAACAAACTGTATGTGTTGAACAAACTGTATGTGTTGAACTAACTGTATGTGTTGAACAAACTGTATGTGTTGAACTAACTGTATGTGTTGAACAAACTGTATGTGTTAAACTAACTGTATGTGTTGAACTAACTGTATGTGTTGAACAAACTGTATGTGTTGAACACACTCTGTGTGTTGAACAAAATGTGTGTATTAAACTAACTGTATGTGTTGAACAAACTGTATGTGTTGAACAAACTGTATGTGTTGAACGAACTGTATGTGTTGAACAAACTGTATGTGTTGTATGTGTTGAACAAACTGTATGTGTTGAACAAACTGTATGTGTTGAACGAACTGTATGTGTTGAACAAACTGTATGTGTTGAACACACTCTGTGTGTTGAACAAAATGTGTGTGTTAAACTAACTGTATGTGTTGAACAAACTGTATGTGTTGAACACACTCTGTTTGTTGAACACACTCTGTGTGTTGAACAAAATGTGTGTGTTAAACTAACTGTATGTGTTGAACAAACTGTATGTGTTGAACACACTCTGTTTGTTGAACAAAATGTGTGTGTTAAACTAACTGTATGTGTTGAACAAACTGTATGTGTTGAACAAACTGTATGTGTTGAACTAACTGTATGTGTTGAACAAACTGTATGTGTTGAACTAACTGTATGTGTTGAACAAACTGTATGTGTTAAACTAACTGTATGTGTTGAACAAACTGTATGTGTTGAACAAACTGAATGTGTTGAACACACTCTGAGTGTTGAACAAACTGTATGTGTTAAACTAACTGTATGTGTTGAACAAACTGTATGTGTTGAACAAACTGTATGTGTTGAACTAACTATGTGTTGAACAAACTCTGTGTGTTGAACAAAATTTGTGTGTTAAACTAACTGTATGTGTTGAACAAACTGTACGTGTTAAACTAACTGTATGTGTTAAACTAACTGTATGTGTTGAACAAACTGTATGTGTTGAACAAACTGTATGTGTTGAACACACTCTGTGTGTTGAACAAAATGTGTGTGTTAAACTAACTGTATGTGTTGAACAAACTGTATGTGTTGAACAAACTGTATGTGTTGAACAAACTCTGTGTGTTGAACAAACTGTATGTGTTGAACAAACTGTGTGTCATGAATCAAGTATATGTGTTGAACAAAAAATATGTGTAAAAGAAACTGTATGTCTTGAACCAACTCTATGTGTTGAAAAAACTGTATGTGTTGAACAAAGTGAATGTGTTGAACAAACTGTATGTGTAAAAGAATCTATGTCGTAAATAATAATTTGTGTTGAACAAACTGTATGTGTTTCAACACACTGTATGCACGAACTATATGTGTTGAACAAACTATATGTGTTGAAGCATTTACCTTTCAAACATAACCACCTCGACTCCCCCCACGCCACCCCCACCACCCCCAAGAATCTCTGAGACGGTTCACGAAATACTTGACACGGCGGTGACCTTAACTGTGATTAACATGGGGACATGGGGACAAACTGATTCCCTCTAGAGCTGAGCATATCTTGGACACATTGGCATCACTTAATGTTATCGATAAGCCGCCTTTCTCTTGACAACACCATTTCCGTGGAGATCTTCCTTGAAATCTACAGTTGGCGTTCGTGTATCCAAAAGAACAACTGGTACTGTGAGGTCTCCAAAACGAGTTTGAATTTTAAAAACTTTAAAAATATTGATTAATAACGATAGGGAAATCGTGAAGATTTTCCCTTTTTACACTGACAACGCCCGTCTGTTAACTGCAGCTCCTGACTTAAGCGTAAATGATTTCAGTGGAATCTGATTCCGTCAACACCAGCCAAGACGTCTTTTGACATGAACCACATTAAGGCATCGTGTTCAGTCACAAGAGTAACACTAATCAATGGCTCAATCATACAAACGCATATGCAACAAAGCAACTTTTCATAAAATAGCATAAAGTATTGCAAACGTGATCGATATGAAAGAAAAGTAAAGAAACAAATACAAAAAGGTGTAAAAATGGACAATCAGCATAATTACAATGATAATACCAGAGCGACAAGAGAATCTAATAATGGTGTCAACTAAAATATGGAATAAAATAAAAACGAACTGCAACACATACCTTTACCGCGTAGGCGAACGCCATGACAGCGTCACTGACAAACTGAAGTTGACCTTCAAGCTCAAATCCGTTTTCTTCTGTCACCTCCTCGTTGCCAGTGCACACTTTTGTATAATTCTCATTAAATGGCGTCCATGCACTTCCGGGATATTTACATTTAAAGTATTCCTCCCAGTACTCGATAAACCATGGGTTTCTCAGGTTGGTCTGAGGTCTTAAGTTCCGGAAATACTCCCGAAATCCCTCCACTTCACTTGCTAATGGCTGCACGGTAATCGCACCCTCTACCTATAGATGAAAGATATTGAAATGAGTAACGGGAAATTGTTGCAATCAGTGACTGACTGATCAGCTCCAATCGTAAGAATTAATCACGTTTTTGAATGTTATGTAGTATCATAGTGAAACCTTGCCAATCCGGTCACCCCGCTTTAAGGACGAATCCTTTAATATAAAATGTCAACGCCAGATGAATATTCAGTCTCGATTATTAATGTTTTATGAATGGACCTCTGAAAGTCACCGATCACACAAGGTGTTTGCGAAAGGGGTGTCCTAACGGGTAAAAAACGTCAGCATATATTCAAAGGGTATTATTTTTCGGCGCCGTACGGTTTAATATTATGATAAGACCGCCTCCGTGGTCTAATGGTAGAGCGTCCGCAGAGAGAGCGGAAGGTCCGAGGTTCGATCCCCAGCCGCGTCATACCAAAAGACGTTAAAAGATGGTACTTGTTGTTACCCTGTCTGGCGCTCGGTATTAAGGGGCGAAAACAAGGACTGGTCGGCTCTGAGTCAGTATACTGTGTCTGAGTGGGGTATTCATGTTAAACTGCGGCATGGTATCGCAGTGTGCTAGCACTATAAATCGGCATCAGTCCGGACTAGTACAAGCAGCCAAACACACACATACACGTGCATGCACATCGCTATATAAGTGCAATAATCTTGGACGCGACGTTAAACCCCATTTCACCTCACCTCACCTAATACTATGATACACATCCGTCCTTTCCGTAGTACCCGTGAGTGTTTACCTGCATAGCTTATGTGTTACCATCGCCTCTGCTTTTGGCAGATATTTTTTTATGAATATGGAAAGGGTTTTGTCTTTATTATTTAAAAGGGGCACGGGTGGTCCAGTCGTCTAAGGAGCCGCGATTCGCTGCGCAGAGTTACGTCCCTTGGGCACGCCAGAAATCTATGATTGTGGGCTCGAATCCCGGTTTGCCCCGATTATGTTTCTAGGTTTGTCAGCACCATACCCGTGCTCGTGGGTTTCACCGAAGTGGTAAACGTCTGAGACCTGCATCACTTCGGGCTTTCCTCACACATTAAGCTGACACGCCGTGATATAACTGGAATACTTCGAACCAACAATTATAGGTTTCTGGCGTACCCAAGGGACGCAACTCTGCAGAGCGAATCGCCGCGCCTTTAGACGACTGGGTCACCCATGCCCCCCTAAAAGGAAAGAACAACGACCATAGGTTCAATAATATTTATTGTGTTTAAACAGACATGGACCCACATCACTATGAATGGAATCGTATTATCACAAAGGACAGCACCCCTTTCAGTGTAAAGAGCCTCGCATCTTCAAGATCAAGCGCATTAAACATAAAATTCCGATATAAAAGCCTGGATAAACGAGGATGAGAAAGCTCAGTATAAGCCACCATGTAAGATAAAGATACGAGCCACCAACTGTATGGTTTTAGTAGCACTAAGCCGCATCGCCCCCTTCTACCTGATTTCAAACACGGCCTTGATCTCTACTCAAATAAAATCCCACTACATCCGCCAGTGTTTGCCTATTTCATTGACAGATCACATTGACAGTTCAGACAATCTGATTTCAAGAGGGAACCGAGAGATATTAGTAACAAAACGAGAGCATGTGGTTGACAGTGATTTGACATTTCATGTACATGGGTGATCACATTGTAGGTTTAGATCTGACTACACATTCACAGCACGCCCGGATGTCTCCTCGTGAATAATTAAGCCGTGAATTAATAAGATCAGCCAATCAAATGACAGGACATAAAACACGTGAACATCACTACCTGACGGATGCTGGCACATTTTGAAGTGAGGTGAGGTGAAATGGGGTTAAACGTCGCGTCCAAGATTATTGCACTTATATAGCGACGTGCATGCACGTGTGTGTGTGTGTGTGTGTGTGTGGCTGCTTGTATTGGCGCCGATTTATAGTGCTAGTTCAATGAGATACCATGCCACAGTTTAACATGAATACCCCACTCAGACACAGTTTACTGACTCCGAGCGACCAGTCCTTGTTTTGGCCCCTTAATGCCGAGCGCCAGACAGGCTAACAACAAGTACCATCTTTTATCGTCTTTTGGTATGACGCGGCCAGGGATCGAACTCCGGACCTTCCGCTCTCCGGGCGGACGCTCTACCACTAGACCACGGAGGCGGTCTATTTTGAAGTGAAGTTATTATAATGTCGATATTAATCTCACTTCAAAAATGTCATACATGTACCCATAATTAAATGTCCGGGCATCGAATAATCAATAACACTCGTAAATTTGAAAACACATGTATATCGACTTTCTATATGAAAGACTTGTGAAACACCTTGCTGCCATACAGTTTGTAAATACCGAGTGTAAATGCATATAGGCTTTATACAATTTTAATACATTTTGTAAAAAAGAGCGGAATATATAGAAATCTGATTTTAAGTGGGAGCACATCTATAGCGGGTATGAAACAACGCCAGAGCTGCTAGAATAGGACAAGAACCGCTCGTTCCATGACATGCCCAAAACTGGTACCATGGTTACCATTTTCGCCCGACATTTAACTTCATTTGCAAAATCCTGACAGCTTGGCCTTGTGACTCACGAGGTGTCCTGTTAGTTCATGTAAACATCCCATCCACCAAGTTTGCCCTATGTGTTCTCATCTGGGACGAGATTTTAACGGGATTCCCATCAACTTGCATATAACGAAAATAGTTCCATTGCTTTCAGACAATTTTCCGTTATTGAACCGCGAATACTAAACATGTCAGAAAGTCAATATCCTACAGCTGGCCTTACTGAACAAATCAGAAGGACCGGTGTAATAATCACAGTGATTAACTGCTGTGTGTGGCAGCCCTGGCGCCGATCTCATAACGTACAGTAAGCTTCGTGTATGACGTCTTGAATAGTCAGTAAATCCCACATCTCGAATTGCCACAACAGCAAGAAAAAACACACATTAGATATCGACATCTGGGGAAAAGTCCTCCCATAAGACCTGTTTAATGACGTCACGTCACTGCAGAGGAGTCTGAGCCAAGACTTCATTGGTCATGTTAAGGATAAGGATAAGTTTTATTCCATACTGAAAGGCCTCAGGCCCATAGTACAATTCTGTTTTCGGGAGTGATTGCAGATAAGTTTAAAAGGTCATATTCTAATTAACATAGCATGATAAATGAACATTGATAGTTTCTTTAGAGTATCTTTATCAGTTGTTGACATGGTCGATATAATTTTTTGTTGAGTGGGATGTACGTAAAAAGGCAGATCAATATATTTACTTCTAAGGTGGTCGTATTTTGGACAGAATAGCAGAAAATGAAACTCATCTTCAATCACATTTAAACCACATTACTCATATATTCTCAATTCTCTGGCTCTGTTCCTGTTTCTGCCTATTCGATCCTAGCCTATAAGAGCTGAATCTAAATTGGTCATGTTGAACGTGTAACGCATCTCACGCAACTATAGGTCATCGTGCAAAATAATAGACACATTATATAACACATAACATGGTTTAGAGAGAAATCACTCAAATCTGTGGATTTCGGAATTCTCATTACAGAATACACTGAAAACCGAAAACTCGTCCCGGAGTAGATAGAATGATCCGTAGTTTGAGACAACCAGAGTTCAAATGTAAGACTTGACTTGTATATAGTACGTTGAAGCCTCGTTACAACGACGTAAAAGGGATAATCGAAATAAGATCGAGTTATCCGTAATTCGAGATAGTCGGAGCACCGCTAACAACATCGGGAGTCGACTAATATGCTGTTGGTAACATGAGGTAACATGACTCAAAACATGTATCGAAAGGAGTTCGTATAAACGAGGTTTCATTAATTGAAAGGGGGCACGGGTGGCCCAGTCGTCTGAGGCGCCACAATTCGCTTTACAGAGTTGCGTCAGTTAGGCGTGTTATAACCTATGGTCGTGGGTTCGAATCCCGGTTCGCCCTCATTGTCTATATCTGTTTGTCAGCATTATGCAAGTGCTCAGGGCTTTCAACAAAGTTGTAAACGTCTGAGATGTGCGTCACTTCTGCCACATCAAGTACACGCTCTGACACAACTCAAATAACGTTCACAGTGGCGTAAAACCCATCACTCACTCACTCATTACAGAAAATCACGAATTACGGAATAACATTGAAACAGTGCAAAACTTTATTGAGTCAGAATACTTTCACTGAAGCTTGAATGTCACTCGTGCCTTAAGTACCCTGATAGTGAAAAATGTATTATTCTAATTTAGAAACCACGACAGCATGCAATATCATCCAGCGCGGGTCTGTTATGTTTTGAATCACCCCTGGAAGTTTAGCCAAACACCCCAAATTGAGAAGCTCATGTATTAGAAAAAGAGCAACTGCTGGCGGGAACATGCACGTGCCTGCCCACAAACAATCTCGCCAAGTGGAGTGAGAAATGCGATGATAACGGACGAGTCGTCAGCTTGTTTCCTTTTCTCATATCAGGCTATTTATCATACTTTACGAACAACACCACCTATTAATCAGAGCTGGCGATTATCACTCTTGCCTGTTCAGGCGTTGTGAGCGGATCAGCGCTGACCACAGTATTGGTCATTTTCTTTCACTTTGTCACGATCCGACACATTTCAGAGGGGCGCGTGATGTAGCCTCCCTGCCAGAGGATGAAAGGCAAAGCCAGCGATGCCGCCGCACATAAATCACGTGATTCTCGTGCTGAACAATACTGAGGGAACGTCTTCAGAGGTATCAGGGCACTAAGGTCCAAAATAGACTATACTAGTCGATAAATGTGTCCAGCTTGGGATGGGGAGTTTGACAAATAGGCGACATGTTTACTTTTGAAGACTTTCGAACTGCTTAAAGATGTGTTGTTCGGGTCGTGTGTCTGCGTGTGTGTTGTGAGATGAAAGGCGTATGCACCTTTTATCACGGGCAAATGGACGGGAATGAACGTATATATATGCCTGTTTCTAAGACGAAATTAATTGGAAGATAGCAAGATGTGTAAACGTTACAAAGAGACTTGTTTCGATGTTAGTTCAAGAAAACGAAACTTTTGGGTATTTCCTCTAACAAGGCGACTTCGAGACCGACACAGGCCTTTGATAAAAGTTAATGGATTAGTTGAGGCTAAATGTCCTAGTTTACAGAATCTTATATATCGCATGGTGGGTAGACTTGGGTGAACGTGAGACTTAACGCCGTCATATTGCTTGCGCTTTGCGGAGTGCGTCGTAAGGCAACAAACTCTCACTTTTTTAAACGAAAATTGAGTGAGTGGGGAGTGCTACCGGTAGAGCAGGAAATGCTTACCATTGGGTCTGTGACTTTATCGAAATAAATAGAATGTCCCCAAAAAATTCTGAAAATAATATTTATGCTTCATCAAAAAATATCTGGTCTCTATCCGAAATCCCAGCCGGAACCTCTTACCTCTAATACCTCCCCTAACATTTTGAAACAAGCTAATAATTTATAATTGTTTCTATTCAGAATTGTGGGGATCAACACGGTTCAAGTGTAAATATAATGTAATAATAAAGGATTACATACTATGACAATACTCGCGCAACAATCCTGTAGGTAGGTGTTAAATACACATGACATTAATATATTGGTCAAAGGAATAGTGAACATATCATAATTCTACATTTATTTAATTCTAATTTATTACAGAAAGAAGTTTAAAGAAATGTAAATACTGAAAAGAATTTACCATATGTAAAAAGTACATTACAATCTACATACCAATAACATTGAAGGGAAAACATCAACAAAAATGTTCTACAGTGTTCAGCTGGAAACAGAAATCTAAAAGCTGTCTTTTTGTGTTTAAATATTTATGTCTGTTTCATGGAAATATGAACCTCACCCGAGTGCATGCTGGTATCAAATATATCAAACTCGTCGATAAAAGTTTTAAACACATCGGCAAGCCCCGGGGCTTTAAATCTTTCTGTTGTTGATATATTTGATATCAAAAGACACTGGGTGGGAGATTCTAGTTTCCAACCTTTTCAGTTTATCAACAGTAATAGCCAGTGTCTTGAGTGTATAGGTACAGCTAACAAGTTGGCCCTGGAGTGGCAGAGAGATAATACAAACACAAAATGTAGAGTAAACTCTATTTCACGTCATACAGGCGGAAATAGTCGAGATTTCCTAAAGAGAGCGTGAACACGGGCGAAAATGTCATCTGGTTCTCTTGTCATACCTGGTTCTCTTGTCATACCTGTTTCTCTTGTCATACCTGGTTCTCTTGCCATGCCTGGTTCTCTTGTCATACCTGTTTCTCTTGTCATACCTGTTTGCATTGTCATACCTGGTTCTCTTGTCATGCCTGTTTCTCTTGTCATACCTATTTATCTTGTTATACCTGTTTCTCTTGTCATACCTGGTTCTCTTGTCATACCTTGTTCTCTTGTCATACCTATTTATCTTGTCATACCTGTTTCTCTTGTCATGCCTGTTTCTCTTGTCATACCTGTTTCTCTTGTCATACCTATTTATCTTGTTATACCTGTTTCTCTTGTCATGCCTGTTTCTCTTCTCATACCTGTTTCTCTTGTCATACCTATTTATCTTGTTATACCTGTTTCTCTTGTCATGACTGTTTCTCTTGTCATACCTGTTTCTCTTGTCATACCTATTTATCTTGTTATACCTGTTTCTCTTGTCATACCTGTTTCTCTTGTCATACCTATTTATCTTGTTATACCTGTTTCTCTTGTCATACCTATTTATCTCGTTATACCTGTTTCTCTTGTCATGCCTGGTTCTTTTGTCATACCTGGTTCTCTTGTCATACCTGTTTCTCTTGTCATACCTGTTTCTCTTGTCATACCTGTTTGTATTGTCATACCTATTTATCTTGTTATACCTGTTTCTCTTGTCATACCTGTTTGCATTGTCATACCTGGTTCTCTTGTCATACCTGTTTGTATTGTCATACCTGTTTCTATTGTCATACCTGTTTGTATTGTCATACCTGGTTCTCTTGTCATGCCTTGTCCACGTGTCATACCTGTTTCTATTGTCATACCTTGTCCTCGTGTCATACCTGTTTGTATTGTCATACCTGTTTCTCTTGTCATGCCTGTTTCTATTGTCATATCTTGTCCTCGTGTCATACCGATATATTGCATCATGTCGAAAGTCATGCGTGTGATAAATGGAAACTAGGCTCGAATACATTTCATCAGTGGTTTATTTGAATTTCAAATTTGACAATTCCGGAAGGCCAAAAAGCCCTTAGAAAAACTTATCATCCCTTAGCTCACCTGGTCCTCCTTTCCCCTAAAGGCCAATCCTCTTCCTCCCCACCCGTCACTTCCTATCCACGCAAACGTCCCTGTTGCCTTCTTCCGGTTGACAGCCTTCATCAGCTCCCCCACTTCCTGGTCCGAGCCGAATATGATCACCCCTGGAACAAAATAGAACAGCCCAAAATGATCACCCAGACATGTAATGGGATGAAACAAATGAAAACTCCATTGCAGTCATCTCTGATTTTAAAGAAACTGCGCGTGTAAAAAGTCATGAGGCGAGATTGAATGTGTTGTCCATCTGCTACGCAACAATACGTTGTAGATGAACCACACTCGATGAACGACACTCAAACTGAAGTTTTGTTTTTGCAGTAACTGTTCTATAATAATGACAAAACAGTCATGTGAAAATGATCTTGTTTCTGTTGGCGTAGAGGTGATGTTTTTTTTATAATTACGTAAACGTTTATCTGTCTGGCGGATGTTTTTTTTTGTTTTTGTTTTTTAACGCCGCACTCAACAATATTCCAGCTATATGACGGAGGTCTGTCAATATATATTGTGTGGACCAGACAATCCAGTGATTGACTTAATGCAATCTACACAATTGGGATACGATGACATACTTCAAACAAGTCAGCGAGCCTGACCACCCGATCCCTTCAGTCACTTCTTACGACAAGGATAGTCGCCTTTTACGACAAGCATGGGTTGCTGAAGACCTATTCTACCCCGGACCTAAAGGGGTTTTGTCTGGCTCAACGGTTGTTTGATGTTCCGGTGTTCCCTACCGTGATATTGCTGGCATAATGCTAACAGCCACCTAAAATCCAACTCACTCACTCACTCTTTCGATTTCACTGTTAATTTTACTGTTACGCTATGTTAAATAACAAAATGAATTGAATTACATATTTAATTACACCTACAGTTCCGTTTGACGCCAATTTGACACGAGCCCATGTATGGGTTGGTCGGTTTGTTGTTTAACGCCGCACTCAGCAATATTCAAGCTATATGACGGCGGTCTGTAAATAATCGAGTCTGGACCAGACAATCCAGTGATTAATATCATGAGCATCTATCCAGGCCATTGGGATCGATGACATGCATCAACCAAGTCAGCGAGCCTGACCACCCGATCCCGTTAGTCGCCTTTTACGACAAGCATAGTCACCTTTTACGGCAAGCATGGGCTGCTGAAGACCTATTCTACCCCGGATCTTCACGGGTACCATGTATGGGAAAAATGTATCAATTGTCAAATTCTCAATTGAATAAAAGTGATCACAAAACCCTCTCAATAATCATACGAAATCTCTGTTAGACGTAAAGTGTAGTGTAGGTTCCGACTGTACCATGAACATGTCATTAGGAACCACTATCAAATAGTGATGGTACAAGGTGTTCGCGACAAGGTGAACGTATCCTGCCCCACTGGTGCAAGAGCCGTACGCCGCTCGTTGAAATCCTCGAAGAACTGTGCAGAGTTGCGTCCCATGGGCACGCCAGATACCTATGATTGTGGGTTCGAATCCCGGTTCGCCCCGATTATGTTTCTAGGTTTGTCAGCACCATACCCGTGCTCGTGGGTTTCACCGAAGTGGTAAACGCCTCAGACCTGCATCACTTCGGGCTTTCCTCCCACATTAAGCTGACACGCCGTGATATAACTGGAATACTGTTAAAAGCGGCTTTAAACCCAACTCACTCACTCACTCACTCCTCGAAGAAGGAGCATGTTTGATTGGACCGCAAAAGTTGTGAAATCTGGATCTGCTGGAATATTGCTCGACATAAAGGGAAAGTTGACGATTGGAAAGGTGGAAGCTATCCCTCTTGTCATAACGACTGTATATTTTGTTGTCACTCTGAATCTGTTTGCATAGATCATTATGAAATACATGAGACACACATGTCTGTTTCTAGTTCTGATGGGTAAATTGGGAGAAAGGGAAAAGGCTATGTGACCATCATAAGATGTTATCAATGAGGATGTCCAGTTTTTCCCATATTGTGTTCACAGTAACAACAACTCGCTGATGTGACGTTGTTTAATGCTATTTGCATACTCGTATATGCAAGGGGTCAGCGTATGGTTCTCGGTAGGTCGTGACAACTTCACTTGACATTTAGTAAGTCATAAATATAAACAACAGTAATTCATCCGTGACATTCTTGCACATCTCGTTCGGGATGGCAGACAGTCCCTGTCGGAAATATGATTTTAGACATTGCTGCTACGCATAATTATCTTGGTCTACTGTTCACAGACCACTTAGATTTTACTGCAATGGCACGTGCAGCAGCGAAGTCTGCTAATAGGGCTTTGGGCCTGTTGATATCCAAAGTTAAGACGTTAGGCGGTATGCATTTCCAAACCTATTCCAAATTGTTCGATAGTATGGTGTGGTCTGTTCTTGACTACGGGGCGGCTATCTGGGGTAATTATGACGTGTCAGCAATAAATGCTGTACACCATAGAGCCATTAGATTTTATTTGGGACTCGGCAAATACGCCCCTAACGTCGCTATAAATGGGGACATGGGATGGATACCGCCTGTTGTCAGACAGTGGAAAAGCGTAGCAAGACAATGGTGTCGCCTTAAGAATATGTCTAGTAGGTTAAACAAACACGTGTTTAACTGGGCTGATAGATACGCTGTAAATGGTTGTTAAAAATTGGAATGGTAGGGTAAGGAAAAAGTTTAGTAATATGGATTAAGCACATCTGTTAAACGCAACAGGTTTTATAGATAAATTTTCTGTTTGTACACAGGTGGAACAATGGTGTATGGATGAATATGTTACCCGTTGGAGTGATATGTTAAGAAAGGAAGAGGGGCGAAATGGGCTTAATAAAATGAGAATGTACCGATGTTACAAGCAAATATATGGGACAGAATACTATGTTTCAAATAAGATGCCCAGAAACTATAGATCGGAACTAGCCAAGTTTAGATGTGGCGTGGCTCCCATTCGAGTGGAAACCAGTCGGTACGAAGGTGTACCTGTCCACAATAGAAAATGTTTTCACTGTAATGACAGCGTAGAAGACGAGGTCCATGTTTTGTTTTACTGCGTATTATATGACGATATCAGGGCAACTCTTTTTAATGAATGAATGCTACATCTCATAATATTTAAATATACCTGGTATCGACAAACTTTGTTTAATTTTCAGTGACCCCAGTGTGTGTTTTATACTTGCCAAAGTCTGCTTTTTAATTCTTAATCGTAGAAAGCATCTTTTATATGGAAAACGTTTTACTATATCATTTTTATATCATTTATGTATAAATTTTATGATAATTTGTCTCTCATAATCCAGTTGAATGGTTCTGTACATTCTATCAATGTCAAGCTGTACAAAGCTGTTTTATGTATGTACAGAAGTGAGACGTTAATAAACTATTGTCTGTCTACAATGGGGATTACCAACTGGGATTAGCATCTTATGGATAACGTAAGTACGTGTTTCAAGGCATATGGGTGTCATGGATCCAGGGTAATTAGCCTTTGGAATTGAATGAAAATGGCTGTCCCAAATCGATTACTATGACAGTAACTTCAGAAGACATTTGCGTTTATCGATGTCATCACTATTCTTAAGACAAATACCTTAACACCATTTGACATCATGTCTTAAGTACAAAACAACTCTCTGTTGCTGTAAAAATTCATTTATGTTAACATTTGTAACCAAGAGCCGATGACTGTAATGATCAGTGTCTGCATGTGTTAAAAACTAACTTAGAATCACCGTCTTAGCTCTTTTACTAAAAGACAACACTTTGAAAAAAACAAACCAAAAACACAAATTATCAATAACGTTTAAAATAAAGCTTAATAACCACTACGACTCGGTGACTATATGCCGCGCTGTTAATAACAACCAAAGATACATCAAGCTGTCTTAGTAACGGGGCACTGACAGCCTGGTACAGGTGACTGTATCTAATGAAAAGGTTATTTGATTTCCAATTAGAAGACAGAAAAACTCCAATCTATCAATATCCTACAAACTCTCTGGGCAGATTTCATCAATTTGCCATGTGACAAATAACGAAATCATTTTACACTTTCTCTGGTTTTTGTGCATCGCAGTAAATTGGAACATCAATTTTAATCAAATAGGGGTTACGATAAAGATTCCCCCAACTTTTTATATATAATGAAGGAGTTAGAGACACTTAACACCTCGATAGATTTCATAAAGATACAGAGTAGAATATAAACAATGCAGAATACTGGGATATGTTTTTGAAGGTTTCTTTAATGCTGACGTCCGAGTTTGTCTGTTGACTATAAATCCTTATAGAGGTTTCAGCGCATCAATCAGACACAGTGAACCCGTTGCCCGTGGTGACTGAGGCATCGTCGAAAAAAACAGATAGATGCGGCTTTTTTTGATAGGTGTAATTGACTTATGTGGACGATGACGAATGGCCATTTAGACAGCTTTTTCCTCAGTCTATTGACCCAGGAAATCCCTGAGCGCGGCTACCCCGACGTCTCAAAGCCTGGTCGGGATGAAAGCCTTGACATGTTGTACGTTTAAATGTTTTGCTATTTAATGGCATACTTGGATGAGTGTGTTAGAGTGGTGTGTCAGTGTATGGACAGCACTCTTTCAACTTAATCGTGCCAACCTGCACTGTGTAAACACGAGACATAAATGCTTTCTCTCCAAAAGGTTTCGTTCCATATATAGCCAGCCTGGAATTAAGTTAGTTCCAAACATAAACACCATCTTTCCTCATTTTAGGTGGACCGCCTCCGTGGTCTAGTGGTAGAGCGTCCGCCCGGAGAGCGGAAGGTCCGGGGTTCAATCCCCGGCCGCGTCATACCGAAAGACGTTAAAAGATGGTACTTGTTGTTACCCTGTCTGGCGCTTGGCATTAATGGGCTAAAACAAGAACTGGTCGGCTCGGAGTCAGTATACTTTGTCTGAGTGGGGTATTCATGTTAAACTGCGGCATGGTGTCTCAGTGAGCAAGCACTATAAATCGGCATCAGCCCGGACTATTTCAAGAACACACATACAGACATACGTACATGCACGTCGCTATATAAGTGCAATAGTCTTGGCCGCGACGTTAAACCCCATTTCACCCCACCTCATTTGGGGTGTGTTGTGAGTGATTTGGGTCG